AAAACAATGGATGTCCTTCCCCTTGCAGGGTCAGTCTGTAACAATTCAAGGGGCAACACCTGTTGACTTTGCTTATACCATCATAGAACTGTCTGTAGTGACTGATTAAAATGCTCCCACTCTCATACCAGAAATTCAGGGACTTATTGAGGAATACAAAGATGTGTTTGCTACCCTAGTTGGTTTACCTCCTGAAAGAGCTTGTGATCATGCCATTCCTCTTATTCCTGGTGCTATACCATTTTCTCACAGGCCCTACAGGCTGGCCCCAGAGCTGAAGGATGAGGTAGAGAAGAAAATCCAAGAGATGTTGGATTCTTGTGTCATTAGAAGGAGTAATAGTCCCTTTTCTTCACCTATGCTCTTGGTCAAAAAGAAGGATCATACATGGAGGCTAGTGGTGGACTATAGGCACCTGAATGCACTTACAGTCAAAGGAAACTATCCTATGCCTGTGATAGATGAACTCCTGGATGAATTACATGGTGCTCAATGGTTTACAAAACTGGATCTCAGAGCTGGATATCATCAAATTAGATTAGCTCCTGGAGAAGAGTACAAGACAGCATTTCAAACCCATCATGGGCATTTTGAATTCATGGTTGTTGGTTTTGGGTTGACAGGGGCACCAAACACCTTCCAAGGTGCCACCAATGTTTCCTTGTCACAAGAGCCTGAAATGCTGAGGACCTTTGTACTAGCCTTCTTTGATGATATTCTGATTTTCAGTAAACACTAAAACAACACTTAGAACATGTCGGGAGGGTTTTGGAAGTGCTTTGAAAGGACAAGTGGTATGTGAAATTTTCCAAATGTGAGTTTGCCTCCCAAAAGTTATTGTATCTGGGCCACATTATCAGCAAGGATGGTGTTTCCACCAACCCTGAAAAGATTAGTACCATTGAACAATGGCCTACACTAGTGTCAGTGAAAGAAGTGAGAAGTTTCCTTGGGCTGGCTGGCTACTACAGGAAATTTATTCGTTACTTTGGGGTTATTGCTAAACCCATGACTAATCTCCTACGCAAGGGCAGTGTGTTTGTTTGGACTAGCATAGAGGACAAAGCCTTCCAGACTCTGAAACAGGCTCAAGTTACTGGTCCTGTATTGGCTCTTCCAAATTTTCAGAAGGCTTTCACTATTGAAACTAATGCTAGTGACTGCGGTATTGGGGTTGTGCCAACACAGGATGGGCACCCCCTAGCCTTTGTCAGCAAGGCTTTGGGACCAAAAAACCAGACTCGAGTAATTGCGACCATTCTTACAGCCAGCACATGGACAAGGCATAAAACCATCCGCCCGCTTGTTTGCCTCAGCCGCAAGCAGAAAAGTATGCACGCCCTCAACAAACTGGGGAGAGCATCGGTCATCGTACATCCATTGCCGGCTCATCTTCATTACACAACACCGAATAGACCAAATTAATACAAGTTCATACATAAAGTTCATACAACACTTAAATGCAACAAACAAATAACTCTCTAGCTAAAGCATTTAAATGCAACAACAAATGCGATCAAGATTGCAACTAAGGTAACAATTGATCCAACAACATAATGATACCAAGCCTCACTATCGATGGCATATTTTCTAATCTTTCTAATCTTCAAGCGCATTTTCTCCATCTTGATCTTGTGATCATCGACGACATCGGCAACATGCAACTCCAATTCCATCTTCTCCCCCTCAATTCTTTTCAATTTTTCTTTCAAGTACTCATTTTCTCTTTCAACTAAATTTAACCTCTCGACAATAGGGTCGGGTGGAATTTCCGGTTCACATACCTCCTAGATAAAAATATCTATATCAACTTGATGGGCATAATTTGTCATAAACACGAAATGCAACAAATAGTTTTAAAAGAGAATATACCACATCCGAGTCATAACAAGGACGAGGGCCGACGGGGACGGATATCAAAACCATGGCACTATGTATAACAAACAACGTACGGATAAGATAATTATTATACGAGTAACTATATATCCAAATCACACAAACATCAATTTTTTATATAAAATTTCATGAACAAGAGGCTCACCACAAGGTGGTGCCGGCGACGGGACGGTGCGGGCGATCGACAGTGGTTACGACGGAGATTTAGAAGGCACTAAGTAAACCACACCTACATATGCAAGCTAAGTGTTATTTTGACCTCAAATTGCATATAAATCAAATACTACCACATATAATTCCTCCCAAATTACTAAAACCCACAATTAATCACTATATAAACCAATGCAAGAGCTAATCTAGCAATGAGAGATGAAAGGACAAAGTTGCTAACCTTGGTGATCATTTGAATGGATGAGGGTCTGCAAATCTTGACAAATTTGGGGCAAATTTTGTGATGAACTCGAGAGGAAGAAGGGAAGAACAGAGGAGAGGGAGAGGGGAAAGGGGGAAGAACAGAGTGCGGGTGGACAAAGGATTTATATAGGACGACCTTTAGTACCGGTTCGTGCAACGAACCGGTACTAAAGGTGCTGGAAGGGCCCCACTCTGACAACATTATTACCGGTTCGTGCCACGAACCGGTACTAAAGGTGCTGGAAGGGCCCCACTCTGACAACATCCTGCCACCACTCTCATTAGTACCGGTTCGTGGCACGAACCGGTGCTAAAGGTTTGCCACGAACCGGTACTAAAGAGCTCCTCACGGCTAGCCGTTGGAACCGGCACTAATGGACACATTAGTGCCGGTTCTGTTACAAACCGGGACTAATGTGTCTCACATTTGACCCTTTTTCTACTAGTGCTCTATCAGTATATGAAAAGGAATTTTTGGCAATTCTCCTGGCAGTGAAACAATGGCGCTCTTATCTGCAACTCAACGAATTCAACATTATCACTGATCAAAAAGCCATGGTCAGTTTAACAGAACAACGTTTGCACACAGCCTGGTAGCAAAAGGCCCTCACCAAGCTCTTGGGCCTAGATTACAAGATTGTATACAGGAAGGGGGCAGATAACAGAGTTGCAGACGCCTTGTCCAGACGACCACATGAGCCTGGTGACTGTTATACAATCTCTGAAGTTCAACCAGCATGGCTGCAAGAAATCATGAACAGTTACTATTCTGATCCTAGTGCTACTGCTATTCTGCAGAAACTAGCTGTCGACCCAGAGGCAGATCCTAAGTTCACATTACATGGGGGCCTGCTTGGTTTCAAGAAACGCATCTAGATTGGTTCAGATGAAAAATTGCAACTTAAGATCATCAACAGTCTGCATGCCAGTTCAGCCGGTGGACACTCTGGTTTTCCAGTAACTTTTCGCAGGGTATCACAGCTGTTTCAGTGGGAAAATATGAAGAAAATGATCAAAATGGTCTTACAGCAGTGTCAGGTCTGTCAGCTCGCGAATCCTGATCGTGTACCTTATCCTGGTTTACTGCAACTATTGTCAGTGCCTTCACAGCCATGGGAAATGACGACAATGGACTTCATTGAAGGTTTACCAGTTTCACGACACTACAATTGCATATTGGTGGTCATTGACAAACTGACCAAATATGGTCATTGCATTGCACTCAAACATCCCTACACGGCTGCCACAGTGGCTGAATCCTTCCTCGATCGTGTGTATCGTCTCCATGGCGTCCCTGACTCATTGGTTTCAGATTAGGACCCTATTTTCACCAGCATTTTCTGGAAGGAAGTGTGTAGCAGAACTGGTATTAAACTTCGCATGAGCTCAGGTCAACACCCGCAGACTGACGGGCAAACCGAGTGTGTCAACAAGCAGGTGGAAGGGTATCTCTGCTGTTTCATCAGTGCCCACCCAAATCGTTGGTCCAGTTGGCCGCCTCTTTGTGAACTCTGGTATAATACAAACTGGCACTCATCGACGGGTCGTACTCCTTTCGAGCTGGTATACGGGCATGCTCCTCGTTACTTTGGTATTTTTCCAGTGGATGCTATTGGAAATTCTGATGTCCAACAATGGTTGAATGAGCGACATGTTGCCATGGAATCAGTCAAGCAACATTCTCTACGGGCACCACAACAAATGAAGGCTCAAGCCGACAAGCACAGGACAGAGAGATCCTTCGAAGTGGGGGAGACAGTTTTTCTGAAGATGCAACCTTATATTTAGTCGTCTATTGCACCGCGAGCAAACCATAAGCTGGCCTTCAAATATTTCGGCCCCTTCAAGATCACGGCCAAGATCGGGGCAGTAGCATATAGGCTGGCACTCCCGGAGAATTGTAGGGTGCACCCAGTCTTCCATGTGTCTCTACTCAAGCGCCATGTCAAGGCTGATCAGCAGGTATGTCAGTCACTTCCTTCTTCAGCAGCTCAACTGCAGATTCCAGCTCGTTTCCTCGACCGTCGCCTGATACCGCGGGGAGACAAATTGATCGCTCAAGTTCTCGTCAAGTGGAGCCATTCCCCGGTGTCAATGGTGACCTGGGAGGACCAGGAGATGCTCAAGCAACAATTCCCTCGCGCTCCGGCTTGGGGGCAAGCCGTTTCTTCTCCAGGGGGATTGTCAGCAGCTCTATGGATGTTCCAACGGCAACACCTGAAGCGCTACAGGGCAATCTGGCAAGAGAGCAGCAGGCCAAGCCCAACAGAAGCATTCAGCCCCAGCTCGTCTACGCGGCCCAGAATGGGCCCGCTAGCTAAACACTATTTAGCTGTCCTAGTGGCTCTGTAGCATGTGGTGGTGGCGGCCTCGGCCGAGGTTTGGATAGGATAGTAGTGAGAGTGTTGGCTGGCTCGTTCCATCCTCCTTCCTCCTCAATTCGAACTCCCTGTAATAATTGAGATCTGAGCATATGAACTAAGATAGATCGATCGGAGTGATTCGTAGCTTACACATTGATACACCACCCACCGGTTCATAGAGAATGAATGAGTAACAACATGAGTTCATGCATATAATTATAAACTGCAGTACCAATTTCACCGACATCAACTATACATACATAAGCATGTGAATTATGTCTGATCATATACTAATCGGTTACGTAGAGCTTGCCCTGCTTCTCAGTCCTACTCCTCACCTCTCAGGAGGGCCAGGAAGCTTCTGATGTCGCTGGCCATGAAGAAGACGGCGGCCACGGTGCAGAAGATGCTGAAGAGGTCACCTGGGTCGTCGACGAGGAAGAGGCGGGCTGCGGCAGCGACGGCGTACATGCAGTGGATGACGACCGCGAGCGCGAGCGTGAGGTAGGCGAGGGCGCGGCGGAGCCAGCGGCGGTGGCGCGGGAGCCGCAACGCTAGCACCGCCGCGGCCGCCTGGAGTGTGGCGCAGCACAGCACCCGGATCCAGAGGGTGGTTTTCTCGGCGGGATCAGCGTCCGTCGGCTGGTCGCAACGCAGAAAGGAGGACTGTGGAGGACCAACAGCAACGCAGGGGAATTCAGAAGCCAAGGGGTAGTGCAAGTGGAACACAGGAGAATCAGTGGCTGTGCACTCGTCGTTACCTGGACGCAGGGGATGAGGTAGTGGCCGACTGCGTAGGAGATTGGGTAGTTCGCCGCGAGGGCGGCGGTGAGGAGCGCCCATTCGCTGACCTGCTGGACAGCGTCGTCCGGGATCTTCTTCTTGGGCAGGGTCACAGGCAGGAGATGAGACATCTTGCCGTCCATGGATCCAAACTATAGTTCTAGATACATTTATTTTCGAGACAAGTAATTCCGAACGGAGGGAGTAGCTTGCTAGGACAAGAACGCACTCCTAGTTTAATTTGTTGTTCCAAAAAGATAGGATGGATCCATCTTGATTAATTTCAACAGGAAAGATGTAGAGGAACAAGAAGAAAAAGATTTCACCGGTAGGAAAGTATAGTAAGAAGAAGAAAAGAAGTAGAGGAGGGACTCACCGTTGACGTCACTGCTCGGTGCTTCCCTGCTAGCTCCGGTACTCCCTATCGACGTGTTGGAGTGGAGCTGTTTAAATAGCCGAGCGACGCGAGTTGTTTGGTGTGGAGAGTTGCATCTGCCGAGCGCGTAATACCCTCTTCGGCAATGTAGTGAGTGGGACGCTTAATTTCTTTGCAGGTCATTTTCATCTAGAATGTGATTTCTAGTAGCATACACATGAATCCTGGCGTGCTTCGTGCAACTCATATAAGGAATGGTGACTCATCCAACATTTTATTTATTTATTCTACACTTGGATGTCATTAGCAGGTACAACCTCAATTTTGAGTTTGCCTATTTTTACCACATGATGGATCATTCATTATGTTTTTTTTGCGACCCCATTCATCCACTTATCTATCTTTGAAGAGAATGGAGAGGGGGGCTCCAAATGTCCACGGTTCAACTTGATCATTGTCATCTAATCGAAAAGCGTGTAAAAAAGAAAGAAGACCATGACAATTGATGATATGTCTCCAAAAAGGAATAAAGTTGTGAGACATGGTGTACATCTAACAATGCAAGTTTTCAAGACATCATCTCAAGTAATCTCAATTCTTCTCTCTCTCTCTCTCTCTCTCTCTCTCTCTCTCTCTCTACCATTTCACTAAATTCCAAAACAAGAAACATACCTGAGTCATTCTCTATTGCTTTTCTTTCGCTCTCTTTAGTTTGTCAAGGAAGAGGCCGGCTACTCTTCAGGAATTAGGTTTGCTCTAAATCAAATACTTGGATGATGTCAGACCACTCGAGCCTACATGGCAATACGATGGATCAAAATTGTACACACCATAATTGTGAGTGAA